ATACTCAGAGTCAGTGGGTGATTTTGGGCCAGTCACTCTCTCTCTCAGCTCAACCCATCCCACAGGGTTGATGTTGTGGAGGAAAATAGGAGGAAGGAATATTAGATATATTGGCTACCTTCAGTTTCAGGATAGAAATAAAATAAAATAAAAATAAATACTATCTGCCCAACTAAAATGAGGAAGCTCCAACATTAGGAAGAATTTTCAAGGAGAGCTTTGAAGACCTGAACTTCACGGTCAATGATCTAGAGGAATTGTGGAATGAAATCAAAGTTGTTAAGGATGAATCTGAAGAAAAACTGCCAAAAATTCAGAAACAGAAAGCAAACATGCCAGAACAAGAGTGGAAATTGCTGAGAAGAGAAACAAAATCCAAGAAAAATAAAGATCTCAGGAAGGAATTTTACACAAGATTTCAAACAGCTGTTAAAAAAGATTACAATATCTATAATGGCACTGAAGATGGAAACAAACATTAAAAACAAGGAAAGTCTTCAAAAAGATCTCCAAACTCAAAAAGAAGTTCCAACCTCAAATTGTTAGGTTAAAAAAAACCAGTGGACAATTGATAACTGATTCTAAAACAATTCAACAAACATGGAAAGATACTGAAATTCTCCACAGCAGATGTGTCAATTTCAGCATTCCAATCATTACCAATAGGAAAGCTATCAGAACTAATGGCATTTCTACAGAAATATAACAAGCAGCAGAATACACTGTAAAGATTTTAACCAACCTGTATCAGAAAATTTGGAGAATAACAGTCTTCAACATATTGGAAGAAATCAGTCTATATATTAGCAACAAAAAAAGGAGACACAACAGAGTATGCAAACAATAATACTACACAATATCTTTAATTTCACAAGACAACAAAATAATTCCTAAGATCAATTAACATAAATTAGAGGCCTGTATGGAAAAGAAGATGCCAGATGTTAAAGTTGGTTTTAGAAAGGCCAAGGAACAAAAGATATTATTGCTGAGGCACATTCAATGAATGAGAAAGTCAAAGAATACCCAAAATAAGGGAATGTGTGTTTTGTTAATTATGAAAATGCCCTTGATTGCATCAACCATATCAAGCCATAGAATGTGGAAATCCTGGAACATCTTCATGAAAAATATATACAAAAATGAGGAAACTATAGTCTGAGCAGATCATGTTGAAACATACTGGCTCCAGCTTAGCTAAGGAGTGACACATAGCTATAAATATGGCTGCATACTCTTCCCAAACTTATTCAGAATATATTGAGGGAAGCCAGATTATCACAAGATTACTGTGCTTTTAAATTGGAGGAACAAACATCAGTAATTTCTGCTGTAGTGATGATGCTCCTCTGAAACGGCAAATGAACTGCAAGCTCTAGTAATGAAAGTCAAGAAGTGCAATGAAAAAAACTGGACTACAATTAAATAAAAAGATCAAACCAGTATTAACAGGTATAGCAACCAGCCTTGAATTTAACAATGAAGATAGTGAAATGGTGGGTAGTTTTTTGCCTTTTATAATTGATTTACAATAGTAAAAGAACTAGCAGACTAGCACTTAATAGAGTAGCCACAAAAGCCTTGTAAAAGATATTCAGATGTGGGATATCTCCATATCTACAAAGATCAAAATCGTGCAGGGAAGTTTCTGTTGTGAAACTGTAAAGCAGTGAAAGTTAGATTTTAAAGGAGCAGGATAGAAACAGTACTGACACTTTTCAATATCATAAACAGCTAAGAAAACCAAGAAGTGGATCAGTGACAAGCAGATCAGTGAAAAAAATCAACTCGGAGTTCTCATTCAAGACACAAGTGATTATGCTCAAGTATGCATGCTTAGGACATATAACACACATGACTCAGCTCTAGCGAAATCTATAATGCTAGCAAAAAATAGAAGGAAAGAGAATGGACTCTTTACAACAGTAAAGCGGATGGACTCACTCAAGTGAAACAGCAATGGGTACACTACTGGAATACCTAAAAGCCAGGTTGGAGAAATATCATTCTGGAGAAGATAATAGCAGGTAATATGCAAGAATACATTTAAAAGGAATTAAATAATAGGAGAGGTAGCACAGTCTACTAAATATAAAATCTGATTGACTTTAGACATTAATGTAAATAAAAAGTAAAAGTACCATTTGCTCACACTTCCATTTTGTTTGCTCACTTGGTGTTACACCTAATGGGAGAGGCATAGCTATAGCTTAATACAGGCTATACCGACTTGTCCACTACAAAGCACTACAGATTCCCCCTTTGGACTTTAATAAGATATGGCAAAAAATGACAACATGAATTAGAAAAATCTCAAATATTCGTTTAATAGCTTATATGATCCACTATGTACTGTTTGCATTGTGAAACAATGCAAAGTTGGATAACAAAAACCAGTCAGAATGATTTGTTGTAACATTACAATGAAAAACTCAGTATGCACAGGAATTAGGAAACTGATTTAAAGCATATGCAATATCAAGGAGATGGGACAAATTATGTACACTTGCAATTAATGGTTACATCATTCAGTGTGGTATAAAGGTAATCCTCATTCAATGATCACTCATTCAACAAATGTTCAAAGTTGTGACAATGCTAAATGAGGGGGACATATGACAAGTCAGTTGTGGACACTACTTTCTCCCCACAATCACATGATTGTGATTAGTGCGCTTGCCAACCAGTTCACAATTATGACAGTTGCAATATCCCATGATTACATAATCATCCTATTTGATCTTCACTGAAAAATTTTGACAAGCCAAGTCAATGGGGAAACTGACAGGAAGTAGCAAATGACCACAGGATGCTGCGAGTGTACAGGCTTCACCTAATGACAGCAATTGTGACTATTGCAACTAACGTTATAAGTTGGTGCAGTCAGATGATATAGTATTTTATCTACTTAGCAACAGAGTTGTCGTTCTTAATTGTTAAGCGAGAACTGCCTATAATGATTAACATATGGTATTATTAATATTCAGGCAGCTCAGTAAAAGCTACTATACAATGGCACAGGTGGCATATACTTTTACAAATAAATATAGTAAAAGGAAAAGTGGATTACAACTCCTACATTTCTCTTTTGGATGAAAAATGAAATGTGAAAGATAATGTAATCCCATGAAACTAATGAAATGCATCTGCCACAGGCATAATATGGGAACAAAAAGTCACATTTCACCATTGTGCCAGTAGGAGAATCGTGGGCTATTATCTGGATAGTAGGATTAAGTTAAATGATATAAAGCAATTTAACACCAACATGAATAATAAGTAGTAAATTAAGCCAGGGTTCAAACCCAGCTTTTCAGGAACCAATTTTAACTAACAGGATAGGGGAAGAGAGCCTTCTCTGCCATTGTCTTGCCCTTTGGAATATCCTCCTTCTCAAAATCCCAAAATGAGGTGAAACCCCATTCTCCTGGTCTTTCAGAACAGTTTGAGTACCTGGCTCTGATTGTTTGCTTGGGGCTCGCAGAGAAGTAGGCAACCTTTGGGCTGGCTAACACCTTGAAGCCCATCCCTTGCCTTTTTCATTTTAGTTATATTCCTGTTTTAGCTGCCATCTACAAAAATATGGTATTTAATCTTTAATTGTACACTAACGAGAGTTGCCTGGTGCAATGGGTGGTCTCTAAATTTTAAATATGAAAAGTTACACATATATGGTTTTTTTAATCTGGCATAATATTGTAATATATCTAGTAATCTGTATTCCCCATTCCTGGTATTATAGAGATTTCCAAAGTTTACAATTATTTAAAATGTTTATCCCACCTTTGTTATTTTATAAGTAACTTAAGGCTGTAAAAATATAGCATGCACCGCATAATCTTGGTATAAGAGTTCAAAGGATTGCATCGTATATACCATTTTTCAGTTTACATATGTATCACAAACACATCTAAAGCATGTTTTCTTGTGGCAATAGAATAATTATTATATTTATGTTTGTGGGCCAAATGTCTTATCTGGGGTAACATTCACTGAAATTCATTTCCCATGGTGCCTGTTGTCTTACATCTAGTAGAAATAAAGATAGTACTCAACTTACAACCATTCATTTAGTTCAAAGTTACATTGGCACTGAAAAAAGTGACATGACTGTTTTTCACATTTACCATAATTTCAGCATTCCTGTGGTTACATTATCAAAGTTTGGATGCTTACAACTGGTATGTATTTAGGACAGTTGCAATGTTCTGGCGTCATGTGATATTTTGCAATCTTCTGAGAAGCAAAGTCAATGGAGAAGGCAGATTAACTTAACCGTGTTACTAACAACCAGAAATTCACTTAACTGGGGCAAGAAAGGTCATAAAACGGGGGCAAAACCCGCTTAACAACTGTTTCACTTAGCAACAGAAATTGTTGTGCTCACTTGTAGTTATAATTTGAGGAATATCTGTACAATGCTAACTGGTTTGGGAGGACTGCAGTCCTCCACTCTCAATTCTACCTGCTTTAATTGTAAAGTGTGAAACTACTGAAATCTATGTTTTGACTGCTTCTCCTGAGAAACGAGGCTTCCCAGGACTCAAAAAGAGGGTGGAAATGGACATCTTGACCTGTAGAGGATAGAACAGCAACAAAAACGGATTTGTAATCACATTCCTATTGCATTTTGCCTTCGCAAGCAATACACAAGGGGAAACAATGCATTATTAATAAACTGCCAAGGGAAAAAAATATAAACATTTTACACAAATGGTGAACCTGTTTTCTTAAAGGGAAAGGCGGGGAAGAGGGAAAGTGCCTGAAAAGGCAGAAAGACCCAAAGCCAAACAGTCCCGTGTAATTTGCAAGAAAGTGGCTCCCAAAAGCGCGCCCTCGCCCCACCCCACCCACCCACCCACCCCCGGGCAGGCCGTGGCTTCAGGTGGGGCGCAACCCCCGCCTCAGCCGGGGACAAGGGGCGGGCAGGCGAGCGGGCGGGCATCCGGAGAGCAGCCGTGGAGCTGAAGGCGGCCCCGCCATGCCGGACAGCTACGCACCGTGTATTCCCGCACTTGGCTGTGGAAGTTCTGCTCGCGGATGCTCACTTCGTCCGCGTCCATCCTGTCATAGCCCCCTCCAGCAATGGCCGTTGCTGTCCCCGCACCTCCTGCCTCCCAGGGGACAAGCGAGGGACCATGGCCGGTGGGCAACGCCTCAGGCCGGGAGGGGCGAAGCTCGGGCCGAACTCGCCGGCTGCGGCGACGACAACAACAACTGCGGTGAAGGCGGCAGCCCCGCAGACGACCTCACGTTCCGACGCCGCCCCGCCCCTTCCCTCGCGAGGGGCGTGTCAGGCCATCTTGCAGCGGAGAGGGAAAACTGCGCCTGCGCAAACATTGACACGCCGTAGGGGCATCATCTCCCCGCGGACTCGGCAGGCTCGAAGGGGGAGGAGTCGCTGTCCGGGGTGGGCGGGGCTGATGGACGCCGAGGCTGGGTTACCAGCGCTCCGGACCAATGGTAAGGAACAGAGGCGGAGTTTCAGTGCTCGGCGGGGTGCTGAAAGTGTGCAAGCGAGCGTTCTCTTAAGGCGGGCTTCTTGGTTTCCTTTCGAGGCGCCGGTGGAAGGGAAGCCGCCCTGCTTGCGCTGCGGAAAATAAGTGGTAGATTGAAGGTAAAAATTATTAGTTAAGGATTGTAGTATGCGAAGCCAAAAGCATATATTTTTTCTCTCCTGCTCTATGGAGTAGAGAGTTGGTCTCTGACAGAAGGCCACCTGAAGAGACAGGGTTCTCAACCTTGGCAACTTTAAGACTTGTGGACTTCAATTCCCAGAATTCCTCAGCCAGAAGCTGGCTGAGGAATTCTGGGAATTGAAGTCCACAAGTCTTAAAGTTGCCAAGGTTGAGAACCCCTGGAAGAAGCATTTGAAATGTGGATTTACAGGCAGCTGTTACATATAAGCTGGGTTGACAAGATCAGAAATGAGGAGGTGATAAGCCACCTGGGAAAGCCTAGGGAAATCATCAAAACAATTAAAAACGAAAATTAGAATATCTTGGACATGTGATGCGACACCCAGAAAAATACAGCATACTCCATCTAATCCTCCAGGGAAAGATTGAAGGCAAACGAGTCCAGGCAGAAGAAGAACATTTTGGCTTCAAAATCTAAGGGACTGGTCTGGACAAAACTCAGCAGCACTTTTTTGTGCGGCTGCTGATAAAAACAGGATTGCCAACATGATCGCCAATGTCTGATAACGGATATGGCACAAGAAGAAGAAAAAGCAGACAAGTTTGTACTTATTTGTGAATTTGTAAGATACGGTATAGGTTCTCCTGCTTGAGCACGGGGCTGGACTAGAAGACCTCCAAGGTCCCTTTCAGCTTATATTCTATTCTATTTGCCTCTTCAGTCGAGGCTGCTCTTAAGTGGGCTGACAAAGAGCAGCAACAGTAGACAACATAAAAAGTAGCATAGGGCAACATAGCATAAAAAAAAATGTAGGTTATGTGTGGACTCAGCTTACCAGGAGATGTGCAAATCTAATGTTAATTGTTTACAGGTAGTCCTCAACTTACAACAGTTCATTTAGTGACCCTTCGAACTTACAACAGCACTGAAAAAAGTGACATGACCATTTTTCACATTTACAACTGTTGCAGCATCCCCATGGTTACATGATCAAAATTCAGATGCTTGGCAACTGACTCAGATTTATGACGGTTGCAGTGTCTCAAACAAAGTCAGTGGGGAAACCAAATTCATTTAACTACCGTGTTTTATTAACTTAAACTACAGTGATTCACTTAACAATATGGCAAGAAATGTTATAAAATGAAGCAAAACTCAATACATTTCTCACTTTGTTGTTGTTAATTGCGAAGTCGTGTCCGACCCATCGCGACCCCATGGACAACATTTCTCACTTAGCAACATAAATTTTAGGCTCAATTGTGGTCATAAATTGAGGGCTACCTGTATTTGTGGTGTTGCTCATTATAATACTGGATGTGAGTAGGTGGATTTGTAGCGTGCATAGCCTGGGGGCTCAGCCTTTGCGGTATGTAAAATTGTTCCCCAGCTAGGAAGAGGTTTTGATAATGATGCAGGGACATAGGTACAGTTTTGTTGGTAATATACTGATCCTACTTTTACTTTTTGCACAACTCAAGGCAATGTTCATAATGCTCCCATCTGTTTTCCTTACCACAAAAACTTTTATGATATGGGTTGAGCTCAAAGTCACCATGTAAATGGACGCAATCATCCAGGTCAAAAGTATCTGAAAAGATTAAATCATGGCGCAACTGAATCAAAGGTTATTAAAACTGAGACATTTCGTTACTCATCCAAGTAACGTCTTCAGTCAAATGAAAATTTTGGATAGAGTCAGAGAATATGGTAAGAGTATGGTTTATTCCAACCACTCTCAAATTTTCATTTGATTGGAGAAGTTAGCTTAACCAATCTCACTGTACACATGTTGTACTTTGATAATAAAGGTTGATTTGATTTGATTACTTGGATGAGTAATGAAATTACTCAGTTTTAATAAACTTTGATCCAGTTGCCATGATTTAATCTTTTCAAGGTCAACCAGTTTCCATGCCCCTAAAGGACTAGAATTTAGTGTCCCAATTTCTAGTCTAGTAGCACCTTAGCCACTACACTAAAGTGGCTCCCTTAAGGATTCATTCCTGCCTTTTCTCAACGTAGCGTTCAGCCTTGGATTGTCCGGATGGTCCCTGATCTAAATACTAAATGGGATCAAACAAACAATGTACACAAACCAAAGTTATTTAACAGTACCTTTTTGAATTGCAACTTGCTTCAAGGAACCACAAATATATAATTGCCTCTTGATATATTCAAAGTATTGATATAGTTGCTACTGATCTATTCACTGCATTGTATTATCATAGGATGTTTGCCTATTGCTTAAACAAGAGGTTTTCAACTTATGACCACAATAGAACACAAAATTTCCATTGGTAAGCATGACAGTTGTTAACTTAGTTGTGCCTCACTTTATGACTTTTTGCCACAGTTGTTAAGCGAATCACTGCAATTGTTAAGTGAATCTTCCTTAACCCATTTAATGCTATGCTGACTCAGGAATTCTGGGAGTTGAAGTCCATGAGTCATAAAAGAGCCGAGGTTGCCTACCCCTGGTGTAGGCTTTCAAGTTTTCTGGAGCTTTGTCATTTGGTGAGATGTTGTAAAAAAAAAAGGGGGGGGGGGTAGACAAAAACTAAGGAAATCCAAAAATTTGGTCCCATGTTTCAGCCATGAGTGCTGCAAGGTAAAGGCTGTAGAATTAAAATATTAACTGATAGTGTAGTTTTGCACTCAGAGATGTGGGGATGTGTTCAGATAGTCCTTGACTTACAACCATAGATGAGTCCAAAATTTCCCTTGTTAAGCATTTTATAGCTTATTTTATATTTCCATTTTATAGCCTTTCTTGCCACAGTAAGTGGGTAAGTAAATCACTATCGTTCTTTAAATTAGTACTACAGTTTTTAAATGAATCTGGTTTCCCCATTGACTTTCTTTGTCAGCAGGGCACAAAATGTGATCACGTGACCCTGGGACACTGCAACCTTCAGAAGTACATGCCAGTTGCCAAGAGCTTGAACTTTGGTCACATGACTGTTGGGATGCTGCAACAGTCATAAGTCATTTTTTTCAATGCTCTTGTGATTTTGAATGGACACTAAATGAATGGTTATAGGTCGAGGATTATCTGTACTCCTTGCCCCCAACTCTGAAAATACAAAGGCCACTTATTTACTATACTGCAGAGGTCTCCAATCTTTTGGGCACCAGGGACTGGTTCCGTGGAAAGAGGTTTTTCCACGGACCAGATGGAGCGTGGTCTTGTGTGCTGCCTGCATCCTGCGGATGGGGCTTTGCTTGTTTGTGCAGCCCGGTTGCTGGCATGCTGCGGTCCTGTACTGGTCCACAGAACGGGGGTTGAGGACCCCTGCTATACTGTATACAATGTTCCTTCACTGATTTAGAATCTCTTGCGCCAATCTTTTCTTTTTTAAAAAAATGTCTCTTTCTCAAGTATGCTTGATTAAAGTTTTCATATGAATTCAAAACTCTTTTTAGTATAACCATTCTAAAATGCTGAGCTCCTAATAAGATTTGTCTTGGGTTTCTTTTTCTTTTTAATACTTCCCATGCCAAAAAGAGAGAGGGAGGGAGAGGGAGAGGGAGGGAGGGAGGGAGGGAGGGAGGGAGGGAGGGAGGGAGGGAGAGAGAGAGAGAGAGAGAGAGAGAGAGAGAGAGAGAGAGAGAGAGAGAGAGAGAGAGAGAGAGATCTTTGCACTTACTTTTAAGATGCACAAGCCTTTGGAAATTGACCCTGAAGTCATTAGGGTAAGAGCTTCAAATATCATAAAAAATGAGATTTATAGTACATTTCCAGAAACAAAATGGCCCTTTCCATGTTTTTTTCCCCACTGAATTTCCATTGCATGGGAAATACATCAGTTCCCCATCAATAACAATTGTAGTAAAAATCTATAAATTTAAAATGACAACCTTTTAAAAGTGCAAAGAGGAATTGTAGTCATTGTGAATTCCTGTGCAGAGCAAGTGAAACATTTGATTAACAGTTTTTAAGCCTGGCATGTATCTAAACACATGTTCAATGTTGGCATATGTAATTTGTTTAGTATGAACAATTCTGAGAAGTGTTCAGCTTGAATAATTTTCCTAGAACTAAGGAGAAACTTCCTGACAGTGAGAAAAATTAATCAGTGGAACAACCTGCCTCCAGAAGTGGTAAATGCTCCAACACTGGAAATTTTTAAGAAGAGACTGGACAGCCATTTGTCCGAAATGGTATAGGGTTTCCTGCCCGAGCAGGGGGTTGGACTAGATGACCTCCAAGGTCCCTTCCAACTTTACTATTATGGATCATTGCACAGTCAGCCAGATGTTCAGACTGGATTTGGCATTTTGTCTACCTATCGAGTCCTTACCCAGGACCTGGGATAGGCAGATGTGGATGTTTGATGCTATTACAGATATTGTCGCAGGATGGAAGCAGTTCCTAGTAAGGCTGCCTTTTGCAATTGACTAATAGCAAATTTGTCAATGACAATGGTGTTCAAGTGGTGCTCCAGTTGCTTACAGGCAAATGATATTTTTTGCAGATCTTCCAATGCACCATTGTTGCTACTTTGTCATGCTGCTGCTTGTAGTCAGTCTGTGCAATCTTCTTGCAATAGCTTACCAGGTGGTCCACTGTTTCTTCAGCTTCTTTGCATAGGCGGCACTTACTGTCTGTTGCTGTCTTCTCAATTT